ACATTAAATTGACTATTAATGCTGTTGCATAGCACAACAATATTAATACGAAGGTAAATGAAGTGTGGAGACATTTTAAAATGCTTTTATCAAAAAAGCATCTGACACTTGTGAAGGCCGGGGGGTGGGGGTGGGGGGTAACTGCTCTTCTTCTGAATAAATGAAAACTAGTTGTTTGCACTTAGATTAAAAATATTTGACCAAAGGAAAACTAGAGCAGGACTGGAGAGAGATGAATATGATTTAGATTTTTATTYCTGTGACTGTACGACCCACGGGAGACACGACTTTAACAGCACGTTACATTCCTTTAAGCAGCTCCTTTAATTCCACAGCTGACGCTGCTAAAAATGACATATTTTCTTTTCTGGATCTCTGAGAGCAGGACTTCAATCTCTGAACTCGTAAAGTTCTTCTTTTTTACTTTGCGATGTCATTTTCATGAATGGACACTTCCTGGTATGTGGGGCAGGAAATGCAGCCTTATATGGTGTTTTTRGGGTGGTAATTATGCTAATCTCCTCTCCTTGTGTGCACACCTGGATACACATTCATCAGTTTATGTAGCTCATTTACACACTTTTCCTGAAGATAGAAGAGTTTGTTGAATCTGACGTGACATGTTCGTATGAACCCTTTGTACGAACAAAAGTAAGAGATATTTAGGATAAGAATATGAACATGTTCTTGCATTGAGTTGAGCATACTCTGTACGAACAAACTACAAAGAGGCTGCAGCACTTACCTTTTTGATTGCCTGGCACTTGGAGATCTCTGAGTGTCCGATCATCTTGTCTGGAGAGCAGATCTTAATGAAGGGGAACTGAGAGTCCTCTGATATCTTAGCCGCCAGCGCAGTCTTTCCACAGTGTGGTGGACCTGTGGGTGTACAGAGGATGRTTATTTCAYAGCTGTTACAAGTAACATTCTATTATTACTCACATTTTTGTCATAATCTTTGAGCCAGATTATGATGGTGATCTCATGCAATGTTGCAAAATCTGGCATGATCTGTTAGTGCTTGAAGCACACGTTGAGGATGACTCTCAGCTACTACAACATCAAATCTTAGCTCTAATTCTGTAAAACCGACTCCAAAATGTATTCAKTTGTAGATGTYARTCAAATGATTACTTWCTGAAAGTTTCATGAAAATCGGTTTATTTTTTCATAAAATACACAGGCAAAAACATGATGGATTTTTGTCTTTGGTGTCAGGCAATCATGACTCTTTCACTGCCTTACCCTCCAGTAACACAGCCACCAGTGGGGTGCGATCGCTGTTCTTGGTCTGCTGTACAAGCAGCTCTCCATCATCCAGGACGTGGGTAACCGGGTCACCCCATTTGATGATGCCATTCATGATGTAGCTGGAGTAATCCTCTTGGTTTGTACCAAATGCCTGAAAATAAAATAAAATAAAATAAAATAAAATAAAAAGCAGAGTGAAGACACTTGTTCTGAGTTTTGAGTGTTTTTGCAGGCTATGACAGCTAAAAGCAGCTCACAGGTTTGATGTCATTGTTGAGGGATCCCATGAAATCAGCCCGGGTGACCTGCAGCTTCTCTGCTCGCTCCATGTCCACCTCCACCGTAGACGTAGCCTAGAAAGCAACATTAGCAAACAATCATGCTCATGCTGAGTTTCCATTCACACATCATTGTTCTCCTGTTTATATATTTATTATTATTAGGAATTTTGCTATTAATAACTTTCATACTTTTTGAATTATTTAATTTTTATTTACAATTATTTTTTTCTCATAGAAATGTAATAAAATTCGTTCAGATCGTTGAAAAATACAGAGCTCTTTGAAATCTTTAGAATATTCATCTTTAGCTTCCGGCTACTGTCTTGCTAGTTTTAGCTTTTTGTTACAATTTGGCTTATTTTAGATTTTATTTAGCTTATTTTAGATTCTTAGCATCCAGATTGTCTTAACCTTAACTATTTAGTTTATTTACCAAATTTAGAGGCATTCGCAATGCCTTTTTAAAAACAATTCTATTTTTCTTTTTCTTCTTACCATTTTGAACATTGATTTAATCATACATATTCAGTATATCATTTAATATAAAATGTTCTTATCATCACCTTCCACTAAAAAGGGCAATAATGTCCATGAGTGCATTTGTATGATGTGTTGGCAAGATATCTCATGAACAACTAGATCAATTTAAATTAAACTTTGGTTTGGTAGTTGCTGTCAATCATCCCCAAGTCCTACAAATTGCTCACCTTTGTTTAAAATTTAGTCATTGACAGTTAGAGTCAAAACAGCCTTTTTGTTAGCAAAATATCTTATGTAGCAGTTGATGCAATTTTAAAGAAACACCCAGAACGTAATCAATGAGACACATCTACCTAATCCAGTTCAGATGATTCCCACAGCTGATCAACTTTAGCCAACACAAAATAACTTGGCTCATGTTCGATGTGAAGTCCCGGTCACACTATAACTTTTTAGACAACTTATGACAATTTTAATGACATCTATGCTGAAGATTAAATAAAAAAAACTGGAAGCTTCTGTATGTGTGCACATACTGTACTGTAATTCTAACAAATTGATTAAATATATAACTTCTATCAGTAATTTAGACATATAACAAATTTCACAAGTTGGCATAAGTTGTCTAAACATGTTTTAGTGTGACAGGGCCTTTAGTAGCTAAGAGTCATCCTGAACGTAAACTCTGAGTACCAAACCATCAGGCAAGAGTTAGCATTATTACACATATAATTTACAGCTCTGGGGTCTCATTTATAAAGGATTGCGTGGAAACCATACTAAAAGTGAACGTACGGCCAAAAGGCGAAAATGGCGTACGCCAAAATAATTTCAGATTTATAAAACCGTACGTACGCATGTTTCTGCGCATCTTTCCTTTATAAATCACAGCCGCACGTCAGAGTTTGCGCACGAGGTCCCGCCTCAGGTTCTACCCTCTACACRCCCACACTCAACCATAAACAGTCAATGCAAAATACCTCATGAATGTTAAGATGTATTTAAATCAGTCAGCTGATCAACGCCAACAAAAGTGATTGGTTCAGACACGCTCCATCATGCGTCTGGAGGTTGACAGGTGCTGACTGACAGCTGCTCACGTGAACAGAATGTCTGCAATTGACACAGATTTTCTCTCATTTTGCTTTAGAGTAATCTAACGATTTTTATCAAAAATATAATAAAAAAAAACCTCAGCTTCAAATTAATTTCCTCACAGAGCCTGCAGGACGATAAAAACAATAAAAATTAAATTAAATGTCAGATAAAATTAGAAGTAAGTACCCCGCTCTTCTCCTCGTCCTCTACCCCTCCTGCCTGCTCTGTTATCTGCGGCAGACACCCCCGCCCCGCACACACACACACACGCACGCACGCACGCACGCACG